TCTTATGTTTATATAAATTTTAAATAAAATAAATATCTCTACTTCTTAGTCTTAAAATTCAAACTTCGATATTCTATTCATACGTCATTCTATTATGCTCGATACTAACAAATAAATTACATACATTTATTTGTTAAAAAAGAAAAAAAAAGATTTGTCATTCTATTATGTTTTAAAATGACAGTAAAAAAAAGCATTTTGTGGAGAGTTTAGAAACTGTTCCTTAACAGAAACCATCGGAAATGCATATTTAAAACAAGTTAGAAACACTATGTTTTAATTGTGAAAATTTTTAATATACTATTTAGATTTATTAATATGAACTTGGAAATTTTTTATTAAAATTTTTGAAGAAACTAAATTACTAAACATGACAATAAATAAGTGAAATAGTTTTATTTTTATCTTTTAATAATGCTTTGAGAACTATAAGTGAAGAGAGATGTAAACGTGGCCGGTACGCAACGCTAAACTCTTTTCCATAATCTTAACATTGGTCATACAATCATTGAGTCTTACTTCCGTGACGAGCAGTGGGCTGAATACTTGTTTTTATCATAAATTAAATCAGACATATTCTATACGATCGTTTTAATAAACGAACTCTCCTCAGAAACTAATTTAGATTTTTTTTAAACAAAAATAGTTTTTTTCACACACTCAAGACTAACATTAAATATTAAAAAAAAAATAGAGAAATAAAATGTAATCAGTAAAACTTTCAGAGCTAATGATAACACATTTGCATTTCTGTGGTAAAAAGCAAACAAAAAAATCCCGTTTTTTATCCCGTTAAAAGATAAGTCATCATTCTGAACTTTTAAATTAAACCACAAATTATGCTTTAAACGTTTTAAATTTTTCATAAATTCATCATTAAAAACGTTCCCTGAATGCGTTTTGATTATTATTTTACTAATTTTTATTAATTGTGCATAAATATAAAATAAGGTATTTATATAAAAAATACGGTAAAATGACAAACTGAAAATATTAACAATAATTTAGATATAATTACTGTAGCTCCACATTTCGAACAACCAAACGAAACTTCGTTGAAATTGAAATATTTCGAACAAAACTTCACAAGAACAAAGATCTTAAATTTGCTAGATTATATACTTTAAACTAAGTATTTCAATGTATTAACTTAAAAATTTCGTGTTTAAAAAATGTTGAAAAATAAATATTGTTTCACTTACTTCAATTAGAATAGGAAAGTTGAAAAATTGGGTTTTCTTACCAATCAGCATATGCACGCTCAATTGCTTAAATTAAATTACGTTTTATGAAGCAAGTTTAGAGTTTCAATCTCGCTTTAGCAACTGTGGGAAGGAAATGCGATACAACCGTTTATNTCACTGACCACAACCAGTGATGCTTGTCTTCAGTGATCTACTGGAAACCATGAGACATGCATGTGAAGAAATAAATAAGAGTAGATGTTGCCCAAAAAGCAGAGTCAATGGACCTGCTCCAAACAGTCGACTTGTGAACAGCTAAAAAACCTAGTTCTACTTGGTCCTATTTTTTAAACATCATCTGATCACTAATTTAAATGGTATTTTTTTTTAAAAAAAAACAGTGTTTACAGCTTTGCATCCGAATAAGATTTCCATGCGATTCTGTTTTACGGGAAAAGCATAATTATCCCAGATAGCAAAATAAAGTTTATTTTCACTGAACAAAAACCTTTTAATGTAAACCTAAAACAGTTGTTCATGCGGTTTGCGGTCCCGCAGTGGACTGATCGTTAAGACACGGTTCCCAGCAGATCACCGAAGTCAAGCATCACTGGCTGCGGTCAGTGTGCGGGTGGGTGACCACTTGGATCAGTCTGCGTGGGGACCGAGGGTGTGCGGTATGGGTCCTCGTTAAACTGTGCTACCGTAAAGTGCTCGACTTCGCGTGCAGGTCGTCGGGCTACCGAAGCGGGGGTGCAATCCCCTCCGCAGAGGATCCAAATTGTGATGGCATGTATTCGGATCATCCTCAGGGATGTTTCCCAGACCGTCGCCAATAGCCCATTGTGCAGCTCTAGTGCGACGTAAATGAACAACAACAACAAACATTTTCGTGACAGTAAAAATAAAATTCTGACACAGGGTTGCCGTGAGGTTACATGCTTTCTGGGTATGCTTAGAATTGAAGAAAAAAAACGACATTTTATTATTACGTCACCATTTGCAATAGAGCATGATATTTTGATTCAACAGTTTTCTATTTTGGTCACGTAAAATATATCTGTATCAAGGAAACACAATCGGATTTTTTTTTTTTTGGAATTGCATTTTTTTTTCTTTTCTTTTAAAGAAAATGTTTCGAACAGTAAATTCCTATGATGTAAAACTTAAATTTTTAGAATTTGATGCCGAGTAACGAAATAATGTAAGCGTTAAAAAGGTGAGTGATTTTTTTTTCTGATCAATTATTTATTTCTACCATTTAAACTATTGTTACAGATCATGAATCTGAAAACTATTAGATAATCGAAACTATTAGATATACGAATTCGAAACTATTAAATAATCTCTCTTCAAAAAGCCTAGCTGAATCAACGTTGTTTGTTTTTGAAATAAGTTATTTAAAATATCAAATTAAAAATTTATGTAGTAATTAAATGTTATTTCATGTATACCTTCAATATGATAACAGTAATGATTTGCTTTGTTTAAAATTATAGGACATGAAAAGATATGTTTACTAATTCATCCACTAACATTTTAAGCCTAGTGTTTTTTTTTAAACATTAAACTTGATTGATAACAGAATATTTTAGCAAATATATTTAAACCATGGATTTTTAAAAGAAGTAGTTTCTTGACAACTGTTCAAGACTTTTCTGTCCATATCTGAATTTTGAAGAAGTTTCATTTAAGAAGTTTAAAAATATTGAGAAATTAGCAGAAGATCACGAAAACTTTTCATGGTTAGCCTGACGGCAAGGGGACTCCATGATGCGTCTACCACTGACAATATTTTACGTCAGCACTGTGGTCGGTGCGATCTGGGTGCGAAATTCGAATCGACCAGCCATTACTGTAATTCGAACCCGGGACACCTCATTTGAAGGCGAACACTCTTTCACCTGAGCCACCATAAATCAAAATCAAATACAAAAACGTATTTTTTTCTGAATAAACATATCTTTTTGCATATTTGGATTTTTGAGTCTTGAAACTGGGGGTGGTAGTCGCAATCTAAGAATTGTGGTTCTTATATATATATTTTTTAATAACCGTCGTTGAACACAGACCCAATTTTTTTATTTATAATTTTTTTTTGGGGGGGGGGGGAGTTGGTTTACGACTACTTATATTCAACCCCGTAGCCTTGCAATTTTGAACCCAATCCAGAAGACAACGGAACTCCTGGATCAAGCACTGGGAGAAATTTGCCTTCTCGGATGATTTTTTGGCACTAATCGACTTTTGCGTTACATAGAGACGAAAACCACGGAAACCTCCCATGGTTAGCTTGACGGCAAAGGAACTCTAACGCATGACCCGTCTACCACTGAGGATCTTTTACGTCAGCACTGTGGTCGGTGCGAGTCAGGAGCGGAAATATAAATTATTATTAATGAAAAATTAAATAAAAATAATCTATTTTTAAGCAGTTTTCTATGTTTATTTTTGTGTATTATAGCCTTAATTTTTGATAATTTTGCTTGATTCGGATGGCCCGAGCGCCTTGATTTAACGAATAGGTTTTTACGTTCTCGTTATGGAAGCGTTCGGCAGAACTCATAATATACGCTCCTTGGCCAACTTATTAGACACACTGTAAGTTTCTATGTAAAATCTTCATTATCAGGGTATACTATACAGCTTTATTGTTTTTAAGTTACTGAAACCTGTTTTCACGTGTTTACGTTCGCTTATCAATGGGTTACCATTGTAATGCAATAGGTTAAAAATAAATACAAATTGGATGTATATGAAAAATCTCTTGAATAAACACCCATTACATGTATGTTTAAATATAACAGTATTGCCTATAAACTTGTGCAAAACATGTAATTATTAAGGAACTACAGTGCGTCTGATAGTTTGATCTAATTATTACAATATAATACGTCTAATTTATCCAAACGTCGAATTAATATTATATATGATCTAATTTAACCCATTGATATACTAATGCAAACAGTCACGTAAAAAACAATGAAACTGCACAATACCACCTGATAATTAAGATTTTACGTGGAATCTTACAGTGCGTCTAATAGTCTGGTAAGTCTCGACGGATAATCAGTCTTGAAAAAAATTACTCCTGTGTGCGTTTCAGTTTGTCACCTGTGTGGCTGGATGTCTACTTGAAGATGACCGATGTTGGCTATCGGCCTATCACAACATCGGAACGTTTAGGAGAGTCGTCTGCTTAAAATAACCCTCTCCACACTCCCCCTCTCATCTTCTGAGGAAAACTCTTCTTCTTCTGATCATCTTCATTATTAACGAGGAAGTTAAAAGATGAGGTGAGTTCTTCTCTTTCTCTGTATCATTCGTCTTTTTCGGAATACGGCTTCGTCATTTTTTTTAAAATTTCATTCGAATTTCTTTCAATGAAATCTCCATCATAGATCGATCCATTGGACTAGTTAAACAAATAATTTTTTATTACCAACATTCTTTTCTTCTATTTTATTTCTAATGTTTTTAACAGAGAGTAATTTATAAACGATTTCGACAGAATATGAGTTTCTAACTTCGTATCTGAAAATATTAAAGTTTATAAGACTTTTTTTTTTTCATTCATAAGAAAATCTTTTTTTCCACTCGTCAAATGAAAATTTTGTTTTCTTAACAATAGAAGTGTAGAAAAAGTTTCTGATCAATGTTTTTATTGTCAAATTAATGTATATATACGGTCCCTGACCAAATTATTAGGCGCACCATAAGATTCTGGGTAAAATCTTAATTATCAAGTGATATATATATATATATATTACGATTACTAATTTTCAACTAATCTTCTGATCTGATCTTCAACTGTTCTACTATTTAATATATTTTGTGCTTTCAGCTTTTTTGTTTTGTTTTTATTAAAATGGAAAGTAACTTTCTCAAAGTGAGAATAATTATAGTTAAAGTCAATGGCTTAAAACTGGTTTTTTATAATATAAAGTAATTCTATTATGTAGCTTTATTCCGTATAATCTTATGATTGAGTAATTAAAATACTTTTTATAATCAATAATCATTCAACTAATAAAATTTAGTTTTAATAGGCTATATTTATAAATAATTGGCTCTCCCACTATCCATCTATTTTCCCTTTCCTGAAAACAAAGAACATTTTGACAGTAAAATATATAATTTTAGTAATTTTATGTATAATATTTTAGCACGTTAGCTGTCAAAAAATTAACGATTTCCTGAATCTGAAAAGAAAATAATAAAAATGAATAATTGATTCTTATTAACCAGTACGTTTAATGAGTGGTTTGTTTTTATCTTTCTTTTATATTCTTAAAACAGTAACAAAATATGTAATTTTTTTGCTTACACTTTTCTTAAAATAAGTGATTAAGATTGTGCTTTGCAGCAATAAATAGAAGAAGAAAAATTTTTCAATAAAAACAAAGCAGTACGTTAAGAACTTTTAGTTACCCATAGAGAAATAGAATATTGCATAAACCTCTGATTTTCTGAGGTGTATGTAAATCTTTTATTTTGTTCTTCCTATTAAAATCTTGTAAAGCTTTAATCGTTTGCACACTTTAATCGTTTGTTTCATTGAAGATTGTGCTTTGCAGCGATACATTGAAGGAAAAAAGTGTTCAATAAAAAC